AAGATGATCCCATACTTTAAGAAAATCACCTTTCAATACGTAACTAGGGAAAATAATCGGTTCACCGACACCCTTGCGACCCTTGCTTCAATGGTTGATATTCCTTCAGAATCACCACGTTTCTATTCTATATCAGGAACAAATATGACCCTTCCCCACCAAGGATTGAAAAAGAAATAGAGCAAGAAAATGAGAACAATGGGGAAGTGTCTCTCGTGGCTTCAAATGCACTAGGTAAGGCAAAACCATGGTTCCATGATGTTCTGTCCCTATTGAAAGATGAGTTATACCCCGAAGGAGCAACCAAAAAGGATAAAGAAGCCCTTCGAAGGTTTTCTATGGGTGGCTTAGTAAGAGGTAATCTCTTGTTCAAGAATTCCTTTGATGGCATCATTCTATGATATCTTGATCAACCAGAAATTGATCAAGTACTGATAGAGTTACACAATGTAGGAGGTCATTCTGAGGCAGCCGCCTTAGCTCAGAAAATTAGGCGCCAAGGCTATTACTGGACCACCGAGGCTGAAGATTGTTTGAAGTTCGTTAAGAGGTTGTAAGGACCCCAATTTTCCTAGATTAAAACACTCATAGCAATGGGGATGAGTGAAGGATGCTTACGTCAGCGCTAAGAAAGTAGGCTAACACCGCATGCGTAAGGCTATCGCCGCACGTAAAAGTGGAATAGCGCCGTCTGTATAAAGTAAAGGTAGCATCACACGTGAATGTAAGGGAACATAGCTGCGAGCATAAGAGGCAATGCCGTTTGAGGCATCGCCTCGAGTGAACTTGGGGCAGCGTGGCCTGTGCATTGCCACGCATGAACTTGGAGCAACACCGTCTGAGGCATCACCATGCGTGAAGAGAAGTAACGCCGTGTGTGAACCAGAGGTAGTGCCATGCGCAAAGAGAGTCCAGTGTCGTGCGTGAAGAGGGGGCCCAACATCGTGCGCGATGAAAGGCTGCCGTTGTGCATGTTTCGTCGAGAGTGTTGTAATTAGACCACCGGGACTGTTGGAGTAGGGTAGTCCATGAGGGGCTACTTCTTTTCCCACTTTTTCCTTTTTATTTTTCCCTCTTCTTTTTCTTTTCCTCCTTGTGCCACTTGCTGCCCTCCTTGTGCCACTTGCTGCCCTCCCTATGACACTTGGAGGTGGCTTGTTGCCACCTCACCTCCCCCTTCTCATTAACCATTTATCACCCAGCTCTCCTAGCTCTCTCTCTCTCTCTCTACCCCACGTTTTCCCCCCTTTGAACTCTTAGAGATTCCAGCCCTTGTGCCCACTGTTGAGAGTATTGAAGAGTGAGCTGTGTGGAGGATTTGGGATCACCATTGGAGCACAAGGTAAGTAGATTGTGCTATTATGTGTTCCTAGGGTGAAACATGATTATGTATGTATGTTGTGAGCATACGTGAATCATGATTTTTGGCATGAGATTGTATATAAATTGTGAGAAGAGAATAGGTTTGCATGTATGTACTCTGTTTTCCTGAAAATTGGCCCTCTTTGTATCACAAGTTGGGCACTGTTATCATTCTTGTGCGTCCTAAAATCCTGTGGAATGATACTTATGCGAGTCCAGTTTATGATAGAAAGGGTCTCATGTTGTTATCTATTATAGATTAGAAGTATTGAAGTGTTCTTTGTTGCATGCCATGGCTGTACTGTGATTTTCCAAGAAATCTGCATGCCTTTACAATGAGATTTTGAATAAGAAAATGATATTCGAATTGCCTACAAGCACCACCATTGGAAATATCTTTGAGTCTACTTTGAATTTGGTGTTTTAGTCTAGCTGAGATTCTTAATAGTTTGGAAGCTATGCTTCGATTTGTGCATATATGTCAATGTTAGCAAACTGTAATTAATTTCCAGGAATGTTACTTCTGTTGTATTGAGAGTTTGGTTATGCAACTGAAGTCCAAATGATGCAAAATTACTACCATTGGAAATATTTCTGAGTCTATTTTAATTTTCATGCACACATCGTGTTCCGATTCTTTATTTATGTAAAGTAATGCTTCGAAACGTGCCAGTAGATCATTGTGGATAGTTTTAGTAAAAATACAGAACTGATGTCTCTGATGTCAAGGGTTTTGACCGAACAAATGAGGTTCGTTTTCTTCTAAAACATTGCCGTTTGAAATATTTTTGAGTAAGCTTGAGATCACATGTTTAGTAATTTTTAAAATTCTCATTAATTTGAGAGTTATATGATAAATTGTAACAATATGTCATTGTGGGCAGCTTTTATAAAACTCAGAATTTATGCCTCTGTTTGCCACAGATTTTGACTTACAAAAAAGGGTCCATTTTCTTCCAAGCAATTGCCATTTTAACATTTCATGAGTAAGACTCAATTCACATGTTGAGAATTTTCTTGAATTTCTTTTTGATTGTGAATTATGAAGTAAATTTTAAGGACATGTCACTGCCTTCACTACACAACAGATTTCAAAAGAAATATCTCCATTCTTTTGAACTTTTGAGGGGCCAAACAAATCCAATACTTTTCAAACCACTATGATTTGAAAGATATCTGTATCTAGTATAAAATTAATTTTGGAACCGTCTTCAAATTCCAAACGAATCAAAAGTCATGACCCTATTTATTATCAGATGTTGCGGCTTGAATTTGCAGCTATAACACTCATTATGTGATATGGACACCTTTATTCTATGAATCTGACACTATTATTCTATGATATGGACACTATTATTCTGTGAATATGATAATATTATTCTGTGATATGGATGCTGTTATTCTGTAAATCTGATATTGTTATTATGTGATATGGACACCGCTATTCTGTGAATCTGATACTGTTATTCTGTGATATGGATACTGTTATTCAGTGAATCTGATATTGTTAAAATGTGATGCTGATACTGACATTCTATGAGACTGATATTGTCATTCTATGATATTGATACTGTCATTCTGTTTTACTGATACTACTATTCTGTGATATTAACACGGTCAATATGTGACACTGATACTGTCAGATTTTGCTATATGAATACTGTGATATGCGCCATGAACGCTATGCAATGGGTTCTCCATTGGTAGTGGACTTTCCGATTCTGTTATATGTAAAACTGATATCTGTGATATGACCATTATGCAATGGGTCCTTCATTGGTAGTGGGGTATACTGTACTGGAATATGTGACTTCTGAGTGTGCATGAGGTGATATGTAATCGTTGGCATACTATGAATGTGTGAGCAGATGTGATATTGACCACTACACAATGGGTCACCCATTGGTAGTGTGACTAGAATGATGAATGCTATGAGAACTCTTTGGCATGCTTTGTGTATCGCATGACCAAACGTTGATATGAGTGGGTACCTGCTTTGAGAGTATTGCAGGGCTTGCCTGTGTGATTGATGCCAGTAAGGTGGCATGCCTTGGGGTGTAATGCACTGCCTGACTTTGTGAGTGCTGTGGGATGAAAATATGCTTTATTATGAAATAATAGTATGCTCCATTGTGATAAGTATGTATACTGTAGAACATGTTTGGTTATAGATGAATAAGTGATATTGAGAAATTTATATGATGATACTCTTGAGTAAAAGGTCTTTTTGAACTGGTATTTCATATGATATTAATTATCCGCACTGTGAATGTGAATGATAACTACAGTATTGAACAAATGAGAATTTTGATATCTTATATTGTGGCTGTTCTATCATGAAAATCATCATCCTATAATTGTGACATAGTTGTAATGCATGACTCCTGTTTTATGAGCATGGTTTAGAACCTTGATATGTGTTGTGAGGTAGTATTCATAGGAAGGGAAGTATGATGCTATGATCTACTTTGGGATTTTTAGCTCATTCCTTTGCTTTCACCCTTGTAGTGTGACTGAAATGATGAATGCTATGAGAACTCTTTGGTATGCTTTGGGTGTATCACATGACCAAATGTTGATATGAGTGGGTACCTGCTTTGAGAGTATTGCAGGGCCTGCCTATGTGATTGATGCCAGTAAGGTGCATGCCCTGCAGTGCAATGCACTAACTGACTTTGTGAGTGTTATGGGATGAAAATATGCTTTGTTATGAAATGAGAGTATGCTCCATTGTGATCAGTATGTATACTGTAGAACATGTTCAGTTATAGATGAATAAGTGACATTGAGAAATTTATATGATGATACTCTTGAGTAAAAGGTCTTTCTGAACTCGTAATTCATATGATATTAATTATTCGCATTGTAAATGTGAATGATAACTACAATATTGAACAAATGAGAATTTTGATATCTTATATCGTGCCTGCTCTATCATGAAAAGCATCATCCTATAATTGTGACATAATTGTAATGCATGACTCCTATTTTATGAACATGGTTTAGATCCTTGATATGTCTTGTGAGGTAGTATCCATAGGAAGGGAAGTATGATGCTATGATCTACTTTGGGATTTTTCGCTCATTCCTTTGCTTCCACCCTTGTAGATTGACTGCTGCAGGTCAAAGGAGGGCGGTGATTGTGTTTGATGGATTGAAGGTCCGCACTCGATGAGATGATCTCCTTGTCTTTGTAGGTGTCAACTGGCCTTCGGCCATATAGTGTTGTTTGTGAAGCTTTGTAATTTTGTTAATAGGCTTTGGTGCCTTGGATGAATTGTAATATGATAGATATTGTAAAGAATTTTGGATACAGTATATGTATATGACTTTTGGTTTTAATTTATCTAGCTTTTGTTTTGGTTCTTGTAGATTTTAGTTTTATTTCTCATGGTTTGCTTTGATTCCACACTCTAAACACGTGTTGATGCCACTCCCACCTGAGTGACGTACACGATCTCTGGTCGCGATCCCGCACTCTGTCGCCCTCCGGTTTGGGACGGCATGGATCAGAGGGCAGGGTCGTGACAGTTATGGTATCAGAGCAGCCATACTAGATTCCTTGGGTTAGGGAGTTTTTAGGAGTGTCCTTAGATTGGTTTTAGAATTGAGTAGTGACTGGGTGTTCTTGTAACTAGGATGAAGATGCTGAGGGCTCGTGGCTACTACGCAAGTTCCAACGACTACAACACTGAGGCCCTCGGTGAATTTTGTAGAACTCTGGGGGCTATGACACAATTGAGGAAAAAGTCGATGCCGGCCCTATCCACCCCTAACCTTGAACATAATGATTGTAACCTAATAGAGAGGTTTAAGAGGCTGGCACCCTCAACTTTCTTAGGGCAGGGAAGTGTAGAGAAAGCTGAGAGGTGGTTGATGCAAGTCGAAAAGATTTTTGAAGTTTTACAGTGCTCTGATGAGCTGAAGTTGAGATTAGGTGCCTTCATGTTAGAAGGGGACGCCGAACATTGGTGGCATTCGGTCCAGCAGGACTGGAAGGATGAGATAATACCAACTTGGGAAGGATGTTTGGAGGCCTTCAGCAAAAAATATTTCCCTGAATCAGTAAAAGAAAGGAAGGAGGTTGAGTTCATAGAACTACAACAAGGGAATCTAATCGTTGATCAGTATGTGGCCAAATTTTTAGAGTTATCCCGATATGTGCCACATATCATGAATATGGAGGCTAGAAAGGCGAGTAAGTTCTAGAGAGGGTTGCGGCTTGATATTAGAGGGAGAGTTCTATCGGCCAATCTTAAGGCCTTCTCTCGATTGGTGGATCTAGTCAAGAAAGTGGAAAAAGATTGTGATGACCACCGATTGAGGAAGGAGAAGCAAAGGACAGGGCCTCCACCCTTTGGGGGTCCACAAGAAAAGGAAAGTCGAAGGAATGGCAAGGCCCAAAAGATCTCCCCGGGCGATGTCAAGCAGAGCCAGCTCATAATTATACCTCTTGTGGGAAGCGACGCCATGTGGCTTCTGAGTGCTGGTTAAAGACAAAAGCATGTTACAACTGTGGCAAGTCGGGCTACCTAATTAGAGATTGCTCGGCATTGAAGAACGTGCCCAAATCCAAGACTCAGGGTCGGGTCTTTGCACTTGATGGGGAAGGAGTTAAGGCCTCGACTTCAGAGAGCTAAAAGTGTGTTTTGATTGTAATGTGAAATCTAAAATGTTGTTGGACCTTGTTTCCTCTCACTGTTGCTGTAACACCATATTTTGGCATGTTTAATAGAGTTTGAACTTTTATGGCTTGGCTGCGCTTAAATTGTGTGTAACTGATTAGCGATCCTATAGAGATCCTTTTAATATGATAACTATGTGGAACTTTGCTTGAGGGGTGTGTCCTCCCCCATCTAGTGAGAACTAATACGTGCCATGTGATTGAAGTGTTAAGTGTTCATGCTGTGACCCGTGTGGTCAATGTTATAATGAGTAATATGTGATGTGTGAAACATGGTATGAAAGTAGTAAGTGCTACGAGGTTTCTTGAAACATGGTATGAAATTAGTAAGTCCTACGAGGTTTCTTGAAACATGGTATGAAAGTAGTAAGTCCTACGAGGTTTCTTGAAACATGGTATGAAAGTAGTAAGTGCTATAAGGTTTCTTGGGCATGCTTTGAGCATACTACATGACCCTAGTTGATATTGTGATTGTGATAGTGAGGTGCCTACTTTGAGCGTATTGTAGGGCCTGACTTTGTGATCCTGTGGTGCATGCTTTGAGTGTATTGCATGGCCACGACCGAGATTGTAGGGTGCCTGCTTTGAGCGTATTGCAGGACTTGATATTGTGATTGTACCTTGGTGCTTACTTTGAGCGTATTGTAGTGTTCGACCTGTATTTTTGTGGTATCTTCTTTAAGCGTATTGCAGAACCTGATATTGTGATTGTACCATGGTGGTTACTTTGAGCGTATTATAGGGCCTGACGTTGGGTTTCTGTGGTACCTGCTTTGAGCGTATTGCAAGACTTGATATTGTGATTGTACTGTGGTGCCTACTTTGAATGTATTGTAGGGCCTGACTTTGTATTTCTGTGGTGCCAGCTTTGAGCATATTGTAGGACCTGATATTGTGATTGTACCATGGTGCCTACTTTGAGCATATTGTAGGGCCCGACTCTGTGATTTTGTAGTGCCTGCTTTGCGCGTATTGTAGGACCTAATAGTGTGATTGTACCATGATGCCTACTTTGAGCGTATTATAGGGCCCGACTTTGATTCCTGTGGTTCCTGCTTTGAGCATATTGCAGGACTTGATATTGTGATTTTACAGTGGTGCCTACTTTGAGTGTATTGTAGGGCCCGACTCTATGATTCTGTGGTGCCTGCTTTGAGAGTATTGCAAGACCTAATATTGTGATTGTATCGTGGTGCCCACTTTGAGCGTATTGTAGGGCCAAGCTCTGTGATTTTGTGGTGCTCGCTTTGAGCGTATTGCAGGACTTGATATTATGATTGTACTGTGGTGCCTACTTTGAGCGTATTGTAGGGACCGGCTCTGTGATTATGTGGTTCCTGCTTTGAGCATATTGCAGGACTTGATATTGTGATTGTACCATGGTGCCTACTTTGAGCGTATCGTAGGGCCCGGCTCTATGTTTCTATGGTGCGTGCCTTGAGTGCATCACATGATTGATATTGATGAGGTACCTACTTTGAGCGTATTGCAGGACCTGACTCTCTGATTTGAGGTTCTGTAACTCTGTGGTGCCTGCTTTGAGAGTATCACAGGACCTGCCTTTTTGATTTCGTGACTCTATGATTCTGTGATGCATGCTTTGAGCGTATTGCATGACCATGATTGATACTGATAGGGTGCCTGCTTTGAGCGTATTGCAGGACCTGGTATTGTGATTGTACTAAGGTGCCTACTTTGAGCATATTGTAGGGCCTAACTATTTTGACTGATACTGATAGAAAGCCTGCTCTGAGCTTGTAATAGGGCCTGACCTTATGACTTGGTGATGTTGTGATTCTATGGTTTTATGTTTCTGTGATACCTTATGACTTGATTTGAGTTATGTGTGCCAACTTGTTAATGTTGGCTGGTTGGGCTAACAGAATATCTAAATTGCTAAGATATCTGAATGGTTAGTGGATGACACTGTGGGTGAAATATGAACTATAGACTATGTAATGCTGAGGATAAGACTATAGACAGTTGTATGGGATAGTAGTGGATGTGTGGGCGCCCTCCCCCAATTGTTGAATTTCATATATATGATTTTGGGGACAAAATCCTTTTTAAGGGGGGGATGATGTAAGGACCTCAATTTTCCTGGACTTAAGACACTCACAGCAATGGGGATGAGTGAAGGATGCTTATGCCTGACGTTAAGGAAGTAGGCTAATGATTAAAGAGGCGTAGCGCCGTCTGTGTAAAGTAGAGGTGGCGTCGTGCATGAATGTAAGGGATCATCGCCGCGAGCGTAAGAGGCAATGCCGTCTGAGGCATCGCCGCCCGTGAACTTGGGGCAGTGCCGTCTGTGTATTGCCGCGCGTGAACTTGGAGCAACACCGTCTGAGGCATCATCGCGCGTGAAGAGAAGTAACGCCGTGTGTGAATCAGAGGTAACGTCGTTCATGAAGAGAGCCCAGTGCCTTGCACGAAGAGGGGGCCCAGCATCGTGCGCGAAGAGATGACGACGCCCACAAGTGTTGTGGTTAGACCACATGGACTATTGGAGTAGGGCAGTCCATGAGGGACTACCTCTTTTCCCTCCTTTTCCCTCCTTTTCCCTTCTTCGTTTCCCTCTTATTTTTCTCTTTGTCCATGTGCCACTTGCTGCCCTCCTTGTGACACTTGCTGCCCTCCCTATGGCACTTGGAGGTGTTGCTGCCATCTCACCTCCCCCTTCTCCTTACCCATTTATCACCCAGCTCTCCTAGCTCTCTCACTCTCTCTACCCCATGTTTTTCCCCTTTTGAACTCTAAGAGATTCCAGCCCTTGTGCCCACTGTTGAGAGGCTTAAAGAGTGTGCTGTGTGGAGGATTTGTGATCACCATTGGAGCACGAAGTAAGTAGATTGTACTATTATGTTTTCCTTGGGTGAAGCATGAATATGTATGTTTGTTGTGAGCATAAGTGAATCATGAGTTTTGGCATGAGAGCGTATAGAAATTGTGAGAAGAGAATAGGATTGCATGTATGTACTCTGTTTTCCAGCAAATTGGCCCTCTTTGTATCACAAGCTGGGCACTGTTATCATTCTTGTACGTCCTGAAATTATGTGTAATGATACTTATGTGAGTGTAGTTTATGATAGAGAAGGTCTCATGTTGTTATCTATTATAGATTAGAAGTATTGGAGTGTTCTTTGTTGCATGCCATGGCTGCACTGTGATTTTTTGGGGAATCTGGCTATCTTTGTAATGAAATTTTGACTTACAAAGTGATATTTGAATTGCCTAAAAGAACCACCATTGGAAAGAAATTTGAGTCTACTTTAATTTTAGTGTTTTAGTCTTGCTGAGACTCTTGATAGTTTGGTATCTACGTTTCGATTTGTGCATGTATATCATTGTTAGCAGACTGTAATTAATTTTCAAGAATGTTACTTCTGTTGTGTTGAGAGTTTGACTTAGAAACTGAAGTCCAAATAACGCAAAATCACCGCTATTGGAAATATTTCTAAGTCTATTTTAATGTTCATGCACACGTCATGCTCCGATTCCTTTTTATGTAAAGTAATAATTCGAAACATGCCAGTAGATCACTGTGGACAGTTTTGGTAAAAACTGTAAAACTGATGTCTCTGATGTCAAAGGTTTTGGCCAATCAAATGAGGTTCGTTTTCTTTCAAACTACTGCCATTTGAAATAGTTTTGAGTAAGCTTGAGATTACATGTTTAGAACTTTTCGAAATTCTCCATAATTTGAGAGTTATATAATAAATTGTAACAATATGTCACTGTGGACTCATAATTTATGCCTCTGTTACCAGAGATTTTGATTAACAAAAAGGGATCCATATTCTTCCAAACTACTGCCATTTGAACGCTTCATGAGTAAAATTAAATTTACATGTCGAGTGCTTTTTGGAATTTTTTTTTGATTGTGAGTTATGAAGTAAATTTGAAAGACATGTCACTACCTTCACTGCATAGCAGATTTCAGATAAATTATCTCTATTTTATAAACTTTTGAGGGGCCAAATAAGGTCCAATTGTTTTCAAACTATACTGATTTGAAAGATATGTGTGTCTAATGTTAAATTCATTTTGGAACAGGCTTCAAATCTTAAACGAATCAAAATTTATGACCCTATTTATGACCAGATGTCACGGCTTGAACTTGCAATTGTAACACTCATTCAGTGATATGGACACTTTTATTCTGTGAATCTGATACTGTTATTATGTGATATGGACACCATTATTCTGTGAATCTGATATTGTTATTATGTGATTTGGACACCCTTATTCTGTGAATCTGATACTGTTATTCTATGATATGGACACCATTATTCTGTAAATCTAATACTGTTATTCTGTGATATGGACACTGTTGTTCAGTGAATATAATATTATTAAAATGTGATGCTGATGCAGGCATTCTGTGAGACTGATACTGTCATTCTGTGATATTGATACTATCATTCTGTGATACTGATACTGCTATTTTGTGATATTAATATGGCCTATATGTGACACTGATACTGTCTGATTTTGCTATATGAATACTGTGATATGCATCATGAACGCTACGCAATGGGTTCTCCATTGGCAGTGGACTTTCTGATTCTGTTATATGTAAAACTGATATCTGTGATATGACCACTATGCAATGGGTCCTCCATTGGTAGTGGGGTATATTGTACTAGAATATGTGACTTCTGAGTGCGCATGAGGTGATATGTAACTATTGGTATACTGTGAATGTGTGAGCAGATGTGATACTGACCACTATGCAATGGGTCACCCATTGGTAGTATGACTAGAATGATGAATGCTATGAGAACTCTTTGAGATGCTTTGGGCATATCGC